AAGAGCGGGGTCGGAGAAAGATCCAGGCTGCCTAGATGATGAACAGGTCGTCAAGTCAGAGAAACAGCAGAGAGCGAATTAGCAGACACCCCTAATAACTTCACACAATTCAGACACACGCAGACACACAAACATTCATGTGTTTACACTTTAATTCAAATATCTGGAGGTTTAATTCATTCTGCGGGAAGCACAGTCAACTGCTGGGAAAGCTTCGTAGTTCTTTAGCCTTCCTTGGAGAGCAAGGTGTGCCTTTCATGCAGGAATGTCTCAGATCTGTGCTGCTCATCTTCATTTCTCTCAGTTCCCTCAGAAACTGTGACTTGACAACACTGAGTAGCACCCAAGTCAGGCAGAGAGAAAAACAACTCGGTTGTACCTTCAGAAGGTCATTCATCTCACTAAGCTGTGCTCCAAGGTCACTGGCCATAATGGCTCTCATTATAATTAAGACAAATTCTTAATTCTTCATACTTCCAACCTTCTGAATCCATTACAGACACTCTGCAACCTTTGACTATGACTCGCTTGCCTGAGTTGAGGAAGGCACTGCAGGAGGTGTTCCATCAGTGGATGAGACGAGCCCCCTCTTACTGGTACATGTCTTCATTCCCATATTATGCTCAAGATAGAGAAGCAGGAGGGAGGAGAAAGCCAAGGACATGGGGAGCAGAAAAGAAAAGTTGCAAAAGGGATCTGGATGTTCAAACTCATTTTCAAAGTGTCGACAGGCTCACATTCCTCCCAGATTTCAGGGTCTGGCGATAAGTCTCCAAGGACCCAGAACAACGCCATCATTGGAGAAGTCTCCAACTCCTTCCTGACCATAGATCCTGAACTGAGTTTTCTGTTTTTCTCTTCCATCCTTCCTTTCTTTTCTTTGTCCTTTTTTTTTTTTTTAACATTCTTCTGGATGCAAATCTAGGCAAGACATCATTCACTTTGGAATGGGTTAAGATGAGACAGGAAAGAGACTATCCAAGAGGAAAGATTACAAGAACTAACACCTGCAAAGATTCTCCCCTGGAACTAACTTCCTCTCTCTCACACACACACTCTTTTTCTCTCCTGTCAGTGTTTCCTTCTGTAATATAATTTTTACTTTGTTTTGTAATTCTAGTGCAAGTGTGTTCTATTGTTAGCCCTTGTTTAATTTATCTGAGTCTAGCTCTCATCTCAGGTTCTGAAAAGAAATCCCTCTAGCTCTTTTAACCCATTGTCCAAACATTTTAAAAATGAAAAGTAGGTTGACTTTAAAGTCTTGCTTTTGCTTCACTCTAGGGATTTGTTGTTGTTCTGAGAATAAATCACCATCTTCATCTTGACTATCTAAATCAGTGGTTCTCCCTCCCCCGCCCCCGGCCCCAGGGACATTTGGTAATGTCTAGAGACATTTTGGGTTGTCATAACTTCGAGGACCAGAGTGCTATGGGCACCTAGTGGACAGAGTTCATAGATACTGCTAAACATCCCAAAACACACAGGACAGCCAAATAATACACAACAAAGAATAATTCAGACAAAAATATCAATTGTGCCAACTGGGAAACCACAGGACAATGGGAGTACAAGAGCAAACTCATAAGTACCTCCCTTTTCCCACTTATTTTTAAGCAACTGGGATAAAAATAACCAAAGCCGGACCTTCTCTTAAGTAACTAAAAGTGAGCAGAGGTGGCAATTGAAGTTTTTCACCAGTCATCCAAGAGGGAGGAGGGAAGATAGACTTGGCACCAGGTAAATCATTCCTGAATGAGTATAAAGCCCCCTCCACCATTATTCTTTTCTGATTTAAGCATAAAAGGCATGTGATTATGCAATGATTACAGTCCACTGTGGATTGTGGAAGTCCTCATTCTCCACTCACTGACTCCCGAAGGTCAGGGTAGACTTCTCAGCATCCTTCTGGTTCATCCCACCAATCGGAGACCCTGGAGCTCATCCTAGAGACCACGCCCACCTCTCTTGAAGAAGCCACGAGGATGCTATGTGCGGAGGACACGTCGCCTTTTCCTCAATCATTTTGCATATAAACACTTTTAATGCCATCTGATTTTTTTTTTCTTTCTCCTTAGCAAGAAGCACATGGCTACAGACTCTGTTCTTGCAGTGGAAAAGAACTTCACAATAGAGGCAAAAATAAATCACAGCCACATACAGTGTCATATTTCACAGAAAACTGTGTACGTTTGTTCCCCATATAGGACATACTTCAAAGTAACAAAATAATTCTATCAACTGTCATGTTCCTTCTTCCTGTTAGAAGTAGATGTATTTTTTTCCCCGTCATGGTACATAAATATCAGAGAAAAGTAGTCTTTGAAGTATTTATGTCCAGGGACTTCTTGGTTGGTTATCATTGGGGATGTATTTAGGTTTGTGTTCGATGTATCAGCAGCTTCAGTTTTCATTTTCCCTCCATCCGCGTGCATTCTTCCCAAATTTATATACCAGTCTGCGTCCATCCACACGTTCCAGAATTTCTCTTTTGTAGTAATATCTGTAACGAAAGGCATTGCAATAAGGTGGCTGGTCTGATTAAGACAGCCGGGGGAATAACTGGTCACACGGCCTTAGCATGTTTGGAGACGTGAAACTCCTCACCTCATGGCTCGGCTGAGTTTTTCGTAGGTCATGCTGCTGTTGTTTTTCTTTTTCCCCCATAGCTGGGCCACAGCCTCTGATTTCAAGAACCTGAAGATGCCCTCAGACCGGTCTTCCCATTTGATTAACCCTGGATTCTTGTCTGGGTTCAGGAGGATGTCGCGGATGAATTCCCATAAGTGAGTCCCTCTCGGATCTGAGGTGAAGGAGGAAAAGGAGTTTATTCATGGCTGAAATCACCACAAAGAAGGGCTAGAGGAAGCCTAGAGTTGAAACATCTTACAACCAGTCAGAGATACTCGAGTCCATGCTACCCACCTGTGGCGCCAAATCACAGAATCCCCACTGGGTATTTAAGAATGAACTAGCACAGTTTTTTAATTTTACAAATCAGAAAGCTGAAGCATGGAGAATTTAACTGACTTAACCAAGGCCACACAGCTAACTAGCGGCAAAGCCAAGACAAAAGAACAGGTCTTACATAGAGAACAGATTTGTGTTTGCCAAGGGGGCACGGGTTGGGAGAGGGGGCAGAGTGGGAGGTCGGGGTTAGCAGATGTAAGCTGTTATATGGAATGGATAAACAACAAGGTTCTACTGTATAGCACGGGGAACTATATTCAATATCCTGTGATAAACAATAATAAAAAATATTTTAAAAAAGAACATATATATATGTATAACTGAATCCCTTTGCTGTACAGCAGAAATTAACACAACATTGTAAATCAATTGCACTTCAATAAAAAGAAATAAATTTTAAAAAATAGGTTTTAGATCTCCTAGGCTAGGAGGTGTATCTTCTAAATATGGTTGACAGATTGCTGGGCATTCATTTCAACTTGTTACTTCCCAGGAGAGCAACGCTCAACCACTTTTATTCAGAACCTCTTTTCTTTAGAACCTCAGTCAGACGGCTGCCACCCAGCAACTGTGTGTCAGCCAAATGCACATCGGTAGGGTCTTAGAATTCTAACTCCTAGAATATATTGGTGCGGGGTCTCACAGGGGTTGAGGGGGCCAATTTGAAAATGAAACAGCTACTGTAATGAAATTAGCAACCAAATTCAATTCTACCCTCACTGGATTTGTGACACACAACTCCCTCCCACACCCAATTTGAAGGGCTGTGTTCATTCAGTTCCGTGGGCTGACCTGGAGTAGCAGATAGCAGTCCAACTCCTTACAATTTCCAGATTACACCACCTTGATTTCTTTCCATGTCCCCCACCCACCCACCTCCACGTCTCTGATATTTCATACACTTTAATAAGGTTTTATTATCGGGGGAAATACAACTCCCCAAGAGCACTGTTGAATCTTAAGAATAAACAGTATTTCTTGGAACAGTAACTCCACAAAAGTAAGAAGCCAACATTCAGCAGAAGGAAAAAAGAATACACCCTCAGCTGTTTCTTCCCATCTCTCTCCTTTCCCCACCCTTTTTTCTGGAGAAAGGGAAATTGCTCACCCCATGCCTGCAAGAAGTTCTTGTTCACTGATGTCTGTTTTAGCACAAAGAGAACAGAATGAGGAGGAAATATCCACTGGGGTTCCACTTTGAGAAACGACTGCAGAGGGGGTTACTTAGCCAGCAAGTGATGCCTCTCTTTTCACACCCTACCCAGTCTGAGGTGAAGAGATGCAGGCAGCAGCCAGAGGCAATATTTGTCTAAAAACTGGTGGCCTCCAGTTACTCTCCATTCAAGGGGAAGGGCCAGGAGGCATCTGAAAGCCAGCCAACTTACTGTGCTTTTTGGTGTGGGACTTTGTTGGTTGGTCTTGCTGCTTTTTCATATCAGGCGACTCTGCTAAAGAGAAAGATGAGAACTGCTTCATTTCCCTGTTTCCTACAATTATCATCTTCATTCATTCATTCACTCATTTCACCAGTATTTATTGAGCACCTACTACATGCCTAGCACTGTTCAGGTAGGTGGTCGTGTCCAAAACAAAACACAGGTGGTAAGTGCTCTGGAGAAAAAATTTCAGGGTAAGAAATAGGGGTAGAAGTGTGGAGATGGGAATAATTTTGCCATTAAATATAAGGTGGTCACAGAAGACGTCTCTGATGAGGGGACCAGAAAGGTGTGAGGGGACAGCCATACAGAGAGCTTGTGGAAGAGCTTTCCATGCCTGAGAATAGCAAAGGCCCTGAGGTCAGTGTGCATAGAATAGAAGGAAGCCAGTGTGGCTGTGAACAAGGGGCAGAGGGGAGGAGGTGAGGTTCAGATCACTAAGGCCTTGTAGGACTTTTTGAGGATTTTAGCTCTTATTCTGTGAGAGGTGGGAAACCATTGAAGGATTTATTTTTATTTATTTATTATTTATTTATTTTTGGCTGCGTTGGGTCTTCTTTGCTGCCCGCAGGCTTTTTCTAGTTGAGGCGAGCGGGGGCTACTCTTCATTGCGGTGCATGGGCTTCTCATTACAGTGGCTTCTTGTTGCAGAGCACGGACTCCAGATGCATGGGCTTCAGCAGCTGTGGCATGCAGGCTTAGTAGTTGTGGCTCGCAGCCTCTAGAGCGCAGGCTCAGTAGTTGTGGTGCCGGGCTTAGTTGCTCCACGGCACGTGGAATCTTCCCGGACCAGGGATCTAACCCATGTCTCCTGCATTGGCAGGCGGATTCTTAACCACTGCACCACCAGGGAAGTCCCCACTGAAGGATTTAGGTCATTGAAAAGTTTTAGGCTTTTATATATATATATATAATACAAAAATGTAAACATTTATAACAAAGAAAGATGACTTGTAAGCCAGAGGAGTGCCTTTTTTGGCATGCAAAGTTACCTTTTAATCAGCCTGACAAAGGGGCCATTGACTGGCCTGAGCTCAGTACAGAGGGCCACAGTGGACTATGGAAACACAGATTAGTCTAACAAATGACTCATTATGGTAACCCTTGAGATGATCAACAAAGAGGAGATGACAGAGGCAAATCTGTGAAATAAAACTTGTTAAAGAGAAAACTAAATGATCTAGCAGAGTGTGTGTGTGTGTGTGTGTGTGTGTGTGTGTGTGTGTCAGTGGGCACTTCAAATGTCAGGACGACTAAAGCAGATCTTACCAAAAAGAATTCCCACAATCAAAAATCTGCCAACTTGAATCCAGGGCAGCCCCTAAATGGTAGCCAATCCTGATAAGAAATTAGACCAGTATATCGCATCCCTTCTGTGTACATTACATCAGGGCTCCCTAACTTAAGGTTTGCTGACCCATGTGTGGACTTCAAGGGCATTTCAGACTGACTGAAACCGCAGGCAAAGGAAGAGGGTCCACAGCTTTCAATATTGTCAATAGTGACCCATTATTCAATAAAGTTTGAATACCATTAGCTCCTAAGGAAAATGGTTAAGAAGACTAGCTCCTGTTTCTTGACCACTTACTATGTACCAGGCACTGTGGTCAGCACTTTCCATGAATCACCTGTTTTGATTCACACAATCACCCTATGAAGGAGGTACTAGCGGGACCCAGAGGCTTCACTCATAACCATTAGTCTATGCCATTTCCAAAGATGGTGCCACATAACAGATTTCATAAACGTCTTCCCTGCCAAGAATCAGGTTCAGTTCTGCAACCCACTAGTTAGTGGGGAAAAGTCATTCCAATTTGATGATTCTCTATTTCCCCGCGTGCATGGATGCATTCACCCCAGATTGTCACAACTCGAGCTCCCAGCAGTTTGAGAGTCGTGGTGGGATAGATGAGAGAGCTTTAATAAGATCTGGTTAGAAGAGAAACCTCTGTTTCTGGTTAAATGCGCCACCACCCTCCGCCACCCCACCGCCCCTCCCCCTCAACACTGTCAGCAGGAGGGTTTGCACCCGACTTGGATTTCTCTGAAACCTGAAAGAACAAATTCGCAGGAAATGCAAGGAGACTCCACTCTCCCTCCCTGTAGGTTTCAGGGTGAGGTTGCGACATCCCATCAGGATGTGACAATATTGCGACAGGTTGGCACCCACAGCGGTTTCCAAGTGATACATCATTCTGACAGGGCCACGTTGTTCTGCAGACAAAGAGTGGCATTTACCCAGCAGGCCACAAGCAAAGCTCATTTTCAAATGGCATCCAGGAGGGATGCAGGGCCATTATTTCAGAGCCAGCATTGAACTCAGAGAAACGCAAGTGTACGTGTCTCTCAGCTTTTTGGCCTCAATCATTGTTTAGGGGTTGCAAACTCATGTAATGCAAGAATCAGTTACTTCGGGGAGTTAAGGTACCTTTATGAATAAAATGGAAACCTTGGCCCCTCTCCCCAGAAAAAGGCACATATGTGTACACTCGTGAAATTCTGCAACAATTTCAGGAGTGTGTGGGTCACTTAGGAGTCCATGGACTCCAGATTAAGAACCCCCAGACCAGCTACAGCACGAGGAAATGTTCTCTTTGAGATGTCAGCCATTTACGCAAGCTAGACTTCCATCCAGCTTAAGAAAGACCTCCCACGAAAAAAATCCCCCCAATAAAAATGTGCGCATCATCGTAGGCAAGAACATGCAGCCAAAGGCAAAAGAAACTTGAATTTCTTCCAGCCTCTTCTTCCAGTCCCCAGGGCATGGGGGACAAGCTGTGGAATCACCCACCTGCCTCAGCACTAAAATCTTTTGATCTGAAACCTCACCTTAATATGATGGCCTTGCCCCCTGAATCTTCCCCCGGCCCCAAAATAAAAGTCAAAACCTTTGAAGTTAGCCGCGTGGTTAAGTGATTCATCGTTATAAAATAATGGCTTCTTGCTCTGGGGAAACTGTCCAGCTTGGCCTTCTGCTGCTCCACTCCCAGGCACCTCAGGCCAAGGTCCAGTCCAGACGGGGCAGCACCGAGGCACAAGTTTATGATGAGTTCCAGAGCATGACTTCATCTAAGCTTCACAAGAAGCAAAGATTAGAAGCATATGCATATTATTCAGCTGTGAGCCATTTCTTTACAGGATATACAAATTTCAGTGTTATAATAGACCACGCCACCCTCGCTCTAGGCTCAGCGAGTCGGTAAATAAACACATCAATCCCGAATTAGCGTGATTGGCTCGAGGACTATCGGGCAGATCCGGAACACCGGCGGCGGCCATTTTATGAAATGAGCAGATGACAGAGACATCAAAACAGAGCCCGCTTCCCCACCTGTGTTTATCAGCGAGGGCGTCAGTTGACATGTGGCCTCGCCTCAGCACGGCTTATGACTTGCACTAAAACACATAAAGATACTTAACTGCACTCCATTTCATGGGAGCTGGAAATCCAGAGACTCAACAAATGACAAGGGTCTTTGGGGGCGGGGGGTGGGGTGGGGTGGGGCGGTTCTGGTCCCGTCCAGTAGAGACTAAACTATTCTGAAAGGAATTGATCCTTACAAGGCTGTAATTAACTATCCTACCTGGAAGGCTATTACCCCAAAGAATTCACCAACCCAGACACTGAAATGATTCTTTAAGTGATCGTTCTGATCGGGGTCCTGGATGGCTTATCTCATTTTCCAGCCTGTGTTACAATTTCGGGATAGGAATCTGGAGTAAGGTGATCAAGAATCAAGGGAGGTGCAGGAGATCAGATTTGTAAAGCCCATTTGAAGAAAGACTATTCAAAAGTAGAATAGTTGAACTCAGGAGACAGTGAGTTAGTTCCCTGTTACTACAAATATGAAAGCCGACATTGGTCCCTTTTGATTGGGAGATTGCAGCAGGTTAAGTCAGGATGCAGGAGAGAACAGTGTGGCCTGGCTGGGAGGGCAGCAGAGTTGTTGATTACAGCTTTTCCTTTCCCAGGTGCCTAGAGACCTAACCATCCCTGAGGCTCAGGAAGGGGTTGTTTCAACTTTATTCTTCCTTGGAATCTTCTGCCCTAAGCCAAAGACCCAGGACATGGGAGGTGACAACTTAGAAGGTGTGTCAGGAAGTCAGAGGGTGACCATGGTGGTTTCTTCAGCTCTGAAAACCTTGGTCTTGACTGGGTGGCAATGATTGCCACAGAAATTTTACCCTGACTGGCTCAGTTCCCCCAGCATGGCAAATCCACTGCAGAACCTTTCCAGCGTTTGATCTAGTTCCCTAATTTCAGCAAATACTTAGAGTGACACATAAGGCGATGGGCCTCTGTGTGGAGGTGGGGGGGGGGGTGTCGAGAAATGAATTGGCCTCCATTCTTAACCTCAATTCCAGAAGCATTTACCCTGGCTCCCAGCCCTGCCTCATTCAAAGGGCTTGACCCGAACAAAACCTCAAACCAAAAGCTTTCAGTTTTTCAGTTCTCAAAAGCACACCCAACAAAATGAAAAAAAAAAAAGGAAGGAGGAAGGGTTGTTGTTTGATTATTCCTTTCACATCACAGATACTCTTTTAAATCCCAGTTCTGAAGTTGCCCCAAATTCAATTCCAGGAAAAGACAGATTCACTTGTGACGGGTCTAAGCTCCATTTCACAGAGCCAAACAGATTCACAAATTCTCACCGAGATCAAGGGACAACACGAAACCCTCTCTTCACCTCCCCATGCACTCATTCCTACCAGTGGACCTATTTGTAAGTGGACAAGGAGAAATAATCTGAAATACAATCTGAAAGCTCCTCTCCCAGACTCCCAACAGACCAACCCTCCCGCTCAGTGTAACCTTGATTGAGAGTCATGGGTAGACCCCAGATGCATCCAATCCTAACCAAACACAACTTACATGAACATAATTCATAATGTGCAGGTGATCTGACTAATCAGAGAGTCCTGATGAGCCAACAAGGTCAGACTTTAAAACTGACCTGTGATTCCCAGGGTTCCAGATGTTTTCAGCTACTGCCCCTCCACCCAGAGACCATCATCCCAGGTTCACTGACCTCTGAATTCCACTGTTAGACATTCATTCTCTAAAGCCAAAGACAGCTTGTTGAAAATTAAATAGAGCCTTCTCCCCTGTAAGGATACCCACATATGAATAATTTTATTGGATAATTTCACAAAAGCAAGTTTTTACTGAAAAGAGAGCTTCTGTTGTCACAGAGAGTGACTTGGTTTCACAGGAGCAAAGCACATTTCCTAGAGGCATCCTTGCTGGTCATTTTCAATGTACAAATATGGGCCCGAAAGCAGATTCTTTATAAACTTTTCCTAGCCTTTTAATGGGAAAGACTCCCATTAAAAAGTTGGAAATGTAGGGCATTGGTAATTCTCATTAATTCACAGTAAGCACTTGCAGGAGGCACATTCAGCCTCGGATGTCAGGACAACTTACCAATGGGAAGGTGACCGCTGGTTGTCATGGAGATCTGGGCCCGGCAGAAAGTTTTGCTGTCCAACAACTCTGTGGCAATGTAAACATAAAGGACATTAAGAGTCTCCTCCTTACAGCATAAATTTTGGGCTGTTAGAAAACCAGAATAAGAATGTAAAAGGGTCTTAAGCGTTGGGGAGTTAGTTACCTACTGTGCTACCATAGCTGGTGTCATATAAATAGTTTTCTTCTTTCCAGGTGTTCATGATGGAAGGGTCTACAAAGGACAGAAAATGGGAATGTCAGCGATCACCTTCCCCAGGTGAGGAGTTTGCCTTTTCTTACTCACTGTTCATCAAAGAGGCGTGGGACAAGGGGCTGGTTCTCAGAGAGAAGAGATAAGATTCTGCTTCAGCCACATGTTACCTTATCATAACGTTACCCCAGTTTTCTTCCAGGGCCCTAGGGGAGTTGGACTTTGTTACGGCCCCATCCAGGTGTTCTGCACCTGTTGCATTTTGAGGGAAGTGAGAGAAGTTGCAACAGTGGGATCCTGTCCTAGACCAATGCTTTCCTGAGGATATTCCCAGTCTGCACTTGGGGTGGGGGTGCGGTCCAGGAGCCTGGCATTGTCTTACATTCTACTATATTGTCACCAGAATATTTTTAAACTAGTAAAAAAAAAATGGTAGGGACAAAATAATTTCATGATTAATGAGCATCTTTTCCTAGTAACGTCTTCCTGGGAGAATTAATGATGTTTCTTTAAGAAAAAGTCTGCTCAATCTTATCACAGAGTCTTTATTGCTAAAATCCAGAGAGAAACTCTCCTCAAGTTGGGTGACAGCCCCCTCCCTCCAGGATTTCTCCAATACGCTTAAGGGGTGACATAAAATTTTCAAAACAGAACTAAGGAGAAGGAGATGAGAGTGTTACCAAATCAAATAAACAGGTTTTAAGAGTAGGGCCTCAGTGCTTCATCTAGGAAAAGTTCTCTCTCTCTCTCTTCAGTGTGCTGGGTAAGCACGTCTCCTGACTCTTCAGATCTCGGACTCCAAGGAAACTCCCCTCCGCCTACCCTAAACGAAGCCCAACTCCTACACACCCCTCACCTCTGGGCTGATCTCCAACAGAATCTTCTTTCCTGGCTGGCCAAGAGCTGTGAGCTCTGGCAGGAGCTGTCGCCTCATCCCCACCAGGAGCTTCCTGCTCTGCCCTCGTCACAGACAGAGGCTGCCCTCAGCTTCCTCCTGCCCAGCATCCGAATTTCAGGGCCGGGGCGGTAAGCCACTGGCCGAGTTTCATTTTGTTTTTGTAGCATAAATGGTATAAAAACCTGACTCACTGGCTAAGTCCTCCTGTTTACGACATAGGGACTTAGCTGGTATTTGAACTAATAGCTACGTGTTTGGGCACCCCAAGCCTGATCCCTTAGGGGTTACACCCTCTGTCCTCGTTGGGTCACCTTGTATACCTGTTGTTGTCTCTGAAAACAAACTGAACCAAAAAGGTTTGGGGGTGTTGGCCCCTATATGAGCCTCCTTTCCCCTCCTCCCAGGGTGGAGCTTCTTTCCCACCCTTCGGCTCAGCTTTTCTGAACTGGCAACATGAGAATGTCTGGATGGTCAAGGAGGAATTGTCGAGTACTTGGGACCTCTCCAGTACCAGCCTGGCTCCTCCGCTGGGGCTATCTGTCCAGTCAACAGTGGGGATTCGGGGTCAGGGGGCACCATCCTCTAGGCCAAGTCCTGTGCCTGCCTCTAGGGCAGTCACGCCCATAAAGCATAGACCATCTGGGTAACTCAACCCTGGTCTCTGGGGGGAAGGGCAGAGCTAGGAATACCTAATTAACATGTTTAGCAGCTACTGTTTTTTCTTTAATAATGGTAGACCAGCCCCCTTATAAAAGAGTAAATAACTGCGTGGGGCCAATTTCTGCCCCTAGTGACTCACAAATCACCCCAGGTCTAATACAGTCCTTGGTGACTGGCACGCAACCTGCAGGGAGGCCTGAGGCAAACTCCGTGGTTGGTCCATGTGGCCCACATTCTCACTGATGTGGACATGGGGAGTGACCTTGGAGCAGTGGCAGCTCCTATGGACTTGGGGGGACTTGCAGAGCTCTCCCTAGACTAAGAGGTCATAGGCCAAAGGTCACTATTCAAAGACCTCTGATTGGTACAAGGCTCTAGGGCACAACTTCTTGAGGCAGTTACTGCCCCCTGCAAGTCCCCAGGGGACACAGAAAGTCCCCAGGGGAGAGATTTTGGGACAGAGGAAGGAGGGATGATTAGGCAGATGAAGGAGAACAAAACTGTATGTAGCTACTCTGGGCCTGCAGACCCTACTCAGGGCTCAGAATAGTGGCTTTTGCCTAAAAGCGTACTTAAGGCAGGCGTCAGTTCCACAGCTGCCTTTGGACATCCCTACAGAAACTCCAAGGTCCCCAGAAACTATAGTGACTACAACACCAAGTCCGAATCTTCCTCCTCCTTGTGAAACACACTCCCTCCAAGGGAGGAAGGGGAGACGAGACGCTGACACTTCCTCTTCCCTCCCCTGGCTTCTCCTAACTTGGCCAAGTCCAATCCCCCGACTCTTTGTGGTGACAAGAAAGCCCACTTAGACTCTGCATTTTCTGGCCTCCTGGATCAGAGCCTGGATGTTCCCTTGACCAGCCATGGGAAGCAGAGAAGTGTGGGCAGAATTCGGCTCACCATCAATCTTAGAAATCAGAAATAGTCGGCAGTCATTGTTCCCAAGGACGAGGGATGAGGCTCATGGCTGCCTGGCCCATTGGAGACAGTCAGGGAAGAGACATCCCTGGGTTTCCTGCCAAAGTACTGTCTCCGTCCTGCTCTCACACTCTCCCTCACACTCCCTCCCAGTTGTCCTCCGCAGGCCTTTGCCTGCCAAGTTGGCTCCCTTCATCTGCCACGACTCACCAGCTTGTTCGGTCTTGACAATGACATTGTGTGTGGACTGGAACAGGTCACTGCTGCACTGGCCTGTGAAGGACAGATTGGGAAACTCAGAGCGGGCCCACGTGTAGCCAAAATGTGCTGCTTGACCAAGGACGAAGCTGGCTTCATGAAAGAGTTTCTGACAGTCCCACAACATGATGACCCTTCTTTACTTCTGGGAGGGGGCTTCCCTCTCTGGATCTATAATCTCAAGCCTGGGGCCCTTGGCCCAGAAAATCAGTAGCTAGGGCACCAACATCAGATGGAATTATTTGGCCTTGTATAGAGAAGGCATCCAGTATGAGGGAAATAGAACTTTAGAAGTTGAAAGACCCGTTTTTCCACTAATAGCTGCAAGGTCCTTCACCTTTCTTCATCTTGGTTTCCTCAACTGTATATTTAGGAGATTAAGCTAGCTAAAGTCATTAGATTTCCTCTAAGGTGCTTTCCCATACTAAGATTTGATACAAAATGCAAAGGAAACACAAGGAAAACCACCTTAATTCTTCTTTGATCTTAAATTTAATCAAACCCCTTTTGATTAGATCTAATCTATGAGCTATGTCTGGATAAGTGCAGTGATTCTTCCCTTATTTATGCCTGGCAACTTTTCTCCAGATGTATCGTATATAAAAGCACATATATACATGTGAATTTGTTTCATATGTTTTTCCTGCCCATCCAGATTATAAATATCTCAGGAGCAGAGGTCATGCTTTAATGTCTCTGACCTTCAGTTTTCCCAGATGAAAACTGCCCCTGTCAAATGGGTGCAATATTCATTTTCTCATAAGGTCACCAAATGAATCAATTCACTTAGAGTCCTTGTATAAGTAAATACTCAATAAATGGAAGTTAGAGGAATGTCTACAAAAAGGCAAACAACGAAACAAAGGTGAGACATCTGGACATTAGGTATTCAGAGGCACCAGCAGCATGCAAGTCATGGAAGGCCAAAGATGGAAGGTCAAGGACGGCCACATCACCTCCCACACTTCCCTGCCTTAAGCTTCAATCAGGGCAAAGCTTTAAAGGAGTGGATTTAATTGGAGGTGGGGAGGTAAATATTTTTAATTCTTCAAGTGTAAGTCTGCTCTTTCTGAAGATGCCTGGGGGTTATTTTTAGAGCTTTGGTTGGTTTGGTTCTAGTAAAAGAAAACTGAGCAACCACCTCTGTGAGGTGGATGGGAAGTAGGGAGTGCCCAGGAGCTGAATGAGGTCATCTCAAATGACCACCACTTCTGCCCGCTCCGAAGCCAGATGCTGGGTTCCCTTCAGTGTTGATGGCAGCTATCTGGATCTGAATCTGGTTCATAGCCCTGGAGCTCATGCTTCCCAAAGCTCCAGCTACATGCCCAAACACAGATTCTGCTTAGACAGACATGCCCATTCTGATGTGGACAGGACAGCTCACTATTCGTACATATCACTGCTTTCCAAGATAGTTCTCAGAGGAGCTAGTTTTTATAGCCATTATCAGAAGAATCTTAGGCCCGTGTCAAGGACATTCTGCAAGATAGTTGTCTACCCTATCAGCTCTTGCAAGCCAGTGTAGCGCGCGTGCATGTGTGAATAAACTATCACCAGTGGACAGCCTTTAAACGATGCCTGTCTACGTGCTAGGTGAGGCCTCAGGAAAGACACCTGGGGCTCTAGGGCAGCACCAATCCCAGAAATCACTGCAGAAACATCCCAAATGTGTCCAGACCATTCGTTTTAAGCCTTTTTTTTTCAATTCAGGACCTTTTAAAAATCTGTTGTAATATCGTAAGCTTTCTCCCCTCCCCCAAAACAAACTAGATCTAATTTTGCCTATTTTCTTACCACACTTACGTCCCATCTTAAGAACCTAGGTGTAGAAATTATTTTTAAAAAAATAGCCATGATGAGGGCTTCCCTGGTGGCGCAGTGCTTGAGGGTCCGCCTGCCGATGCAGGGGACGCGGGTTCGTGCCCCGTTTCGGGAGGATCCCGCATGCCGCGGAGCGGCTGGGCCCATGAGCCATGGCCGCTGGGCCTGCGCGTCCGGAGCCTGTGCTCCGCAAATGGGAGAGGCCGCAACAGTGAGAGGCCCGCATAACGCAAGAAAAAAAAAAAAAAAAAAAAAAATAGCCATGATGATCTTAACAAGCAAGGGATTGGGAAAGAAACAATCGAACCCCATTTGCAAGAGAAAGAAGTGGTTTTCTGAGAGTACCAAGTATCCTGTGAATACCCAGCTAACCTTTGTCTCCTTGGAAATTAACCATGTAAAGAGAGAATTACATTATGCTGGATTTGTATGGGATTAGACACACCTTGTACCCTAGGCTTCAAGCCTGTCCTCTCACCTCCCTTCTACTTCTCTGTCTCAGGAAACAGTAATTTGGAGGTGAGACCATCCTTGGATGCCCCTAAACAGGAACCCTGCCAGCTGTGGAGTCTCTGCTCTTCCCAGCTGGCTCCTAGCAGGGCAGAGAGACAGAGACAGAGACTGAGAAAGAGTTACCATTCCACTTGAGATGCTGCAAGTTGCTGTAGAGAAGCTGTCCCGCTGTCCCTGCCGCCCGGGTGAACTCCTGCAGACTCATGCTGCAGAGATGCTCGCCGTCGATGTCAAACTCCTGGAAAGGGATGCAGCTGGCATCCAGCTGGTTGGTGTCCAGGAGGTGCTGGAGCCATTCCCACACCTGGTACTTGGTCCAGTACTGAGGATGGATTTCATGCCACTGACCTCCAAAAAACCCGCTGGAAACTGCAAACAGGAGGCGGCCCTGTGAGTGACCTGTGTTTGTTTCCGAGCATGATCCCAGACATGGGGATGCCCCTCTGGCTGCCAGACGTCACAGGGATCACAACCACCCTCTGCGTGCATCAGTGGGGATTGGAGCTTGAGATGGGCTCTGGAGAGGAGGCTCTAGGAAATGCAATTCTTTCCCCAGTTGTGGTGGGAGCCAATCATTCAGCCTCCGTATATCTTCGTTTTGTTCTCCATACACTTACCCCTGAGCTCTGGATGAGGACACAACACTTGAAATCCTCTGCGATCACGAGCTCTTCCCCCACCTCCCACAAACTACCATGAAAGCTAAAGCATTGGGGCAGTTTCAACAGAGTATTAGCCTCTTGTCCACACCCACATAGCTGTCTCCTCCCTCTCTCTCCCATTTATTTCTCTCCCTTACACACGCATATATACACATACATACCCAAAACTCAGACCAATTTCAACCAAAACTGAAGCTTGAGACTCAGGTTCTTTTCTCTGTGGTGCCTTTGCTGCTCCCCAAAATGGTCCAGATGATTCAACTGCTCACTGTGCTGACATCCTCCCACCCCATACTGGTTATTACAGCCACTAGGATGTCACTTCCCTACTCAGCTACCTTCAGCAATTTCCCTTTATCCACTGAAATTAGGCCCCAAACTGCCAAGCCAGGCATTAAGGCTCTTCGCTAACTATTCCTCAAGTGACCTTTTGCCTTTTTTCTATGTTGTTCTTTCAGCCCGGTTTGTATTCTACCTATCACTCCCTGTTGAATTTCTACCCAGCCTGCTGACCCTGGCCACCCTATAAAGCCATCGCAGACGCCCCTGACTGACTGCTGAGGGCTGCTGTCCTCTGAATCTCCAGGAGATGCATTTTACATTTCTCCTAATGACGTTTGTCATGTTCTGCCTCTCTTGATGGGTCTCTAACTACAGTCCTGTCCTCCTTTGTAAGTTGTATGCTCAAGGTCATGGACTCTGTCTTACCCATCCGTGAATCTCCCATAAAAACTACCTCAGAGACTTTGCCATCATAGGTACTGTCTCTCTCTTTCTTTAGTAAATTTGGGGGTGAAGAAGAAATGACGTCGGAACCTGGAAGAGTTGTGAGGTGCATTCACGAGATGGTTAATTCAAGTACCGGTGAAGGAGAGCAATTCATTCAAGCCAATAGCTATTACTGAGCTATTACTATGGACTAACCATCTATGTATGTGACTCTCATACTCACTTAAGAGAACATGACTAAATGAGCCCAAAATCCTGGAGGGATGGAGAAGAGAGAACCAGCCTCTGGCGGCATGTAACCAGACTGAGAGACCTTATGATCGCCTTGAAAGCATGGGCCAAGGGAAGGAGCTCTCTAGTGGGAAAGGTAAGGGGTAAGGACAAGGGGAAAACCCTACTATAGCCCACCAAGCTGAAGGAGGGGAAGTCCAGCTGAGCATGACACACAGATATTCCCACAAACTCAAGGATAGACCAATAGAGGAAAACGTAGCAAAAGAAAATGGTCCCTAACTTTTTCTTCAAGGTCATGCTAGATCGGTACTTCTCAAACTCTAATGTGATTATGAATCACCAGGGAATGTGGTTCAAATGCAGATTCTGATTCCATAGACCTGGGGTGAGGCCTGAGTTTCTGCATTCCTAACAAGCTTCCCCAGGATGATTATGATGCTGGTCAGTGGATACAGTTTGAATGGCGAGGAGCTACAGAGCTCCAAAAGGTTTCATCTCCATAATGCCTATGGCCTAGCCCTCAACACCTCAGGAGGAAAGGCTGAAGGGGGAATGTTTCTAACCCGGTCCCACCTGCCACTCATATTATGTTCCTTACTCCTCATTCCTCATGGCCACACAAAAGCAGGCCTAAACCCTCAGCTTGGGCCCTAAAGGAGAAGCCAACAGTGGAGGGGGAAGGGGCAGGGACTGGACGAATCTAGCCCCAAAATTTAATTACATAGAAATATTCCCTAATACACCAACACTCAGAGCCTAGACCGGATGTCTCTATTTCCTCTCGACGTTTCGGTGTCCCACCAATACAGCTATTTAAGGGTGGCCTACATTTTTTGCAGCTCCCCAAGTCTTTGTTCTTTTATTTTTAAATTAATTGTGTTGCTATGACCGTGCAGCTCCGGGTTTGTAAACAAGAGACAACAACTCTCAATAACCCCACACCAGGCCTGCAGTACTTTCTTCTCTCGATGTCACATGACCCAGATGAGAGGATGGCTCCTGATAGCGCAGCCTGTTAGAACTTGGCAGAACCCGAGAATTTTGTCTAAAGTTGACCAGGGGAGACTCCCCATCAGCCAGGCGACTCATCAGATTCCTGAAGCTTTGGGAAAAGCACTGAAAATCGTATGAGTTCAGCTCCTCTTTGGCATTCAAGTGGCCTCCCCCATCAACCATGACCAGGAGCTGGGCCTTCTCTGGGGCCTCTGGAAGTTAGAGAGTAAAAAAGTGATGTTTAGATTCTACTCCCTGCTGACTACTACACTCCAGAGCAAACCAGAGGGATGCTGCCTTAATCGAGGGTCCTAGGGCCTGGCATCCAAAAGATTTTGCAGCCTAAAGAGCTTTTCCCTGTTTGGAATCATCCTTCAAGGTCCCCACAAGGAATCTGAGTCCTGCCACAGGGAAGGTCATGCCCAGAAAAGGCAGGAGTTCAGAAGCACAGGTGATCAATAAGAGAAGGTCACCCATCCCCACTTTTGACCACGTGTGGCTGGGCTTCCAAACTGAAAGGTGGAGCTGCCCACAGATCGGCCACTCCTTGAAGAATGCACCCCTTCCATCAGCCTCCCACTGCTGCTTCCCAGACTCTGCTCACCGATGGCCCATCTCCATTTTCTCAAGGGAAGCAAGCGCAGCAGAGTCTCTGGGGAGGAGATTAGCGGCAGGTATGGGGTGGGAGAAGGCCCCGAGCTCCCTACACCCACTGTGGTCCGGTGCACAGCAGTCTGCGCAAACCGAACACCTTCACGATGGGGTGCGGTGCCCTGATTCAGCAGCAGCTTTATTCAGTCCGGCTTCTACAGTAAGCCATGGGCTTGATCACCAAACCCTCTATAAGCCCCGCCACCAGGCCCTCCTTCTAATCAATGGGTTCTAGATTAAAGCACCAAAGGCAGGCACATGGTCTCCTAACATCTCTCCCCTCCCTTTACAAAGGGAGGCCAGCGGAAAATGAAATAGAAAGATTAAGCTGCTACAGCTCTCCCCTCCTTAACTTCCACGCTTACATGCGACACACACACACACACACACGCACGCACACGCGCACGCACATGCGCACACACGTGCGCGCGCGCACACGCGCGCGCTTACGCACACACGCGCACGCACACACACGCACACGCACACACACACGCACGCACAGTTTTCCATCCTATCCTATCTTGATATCCCAGCCAACACTATTAAAGCTGGCCTTCCTTTGGCGTGCCTCTTCTGTCACCCTCTCTGCCAGGCTACCAACCTGGACCTTTGAATATTGGGAGAAAACCATGGAATATCTCAAATGGGCTTCTGGCTGGGGTCCTGAGGGGCCTGTGAGGACCCCTCCAGCAGGAGGAAGAGTTTTCTCCAGTCTCCCTGGTCCCCACACCTCCCAGCTCTATTTTTCATTAAGTTGGGAAACGAAGCCTAATTAAAGCCAAGGAAGAATCCCCATGGGGAGTGACACTGACCCCCGCGCGGCCTCTTACCGTTGCACGTGGGGTAGCTGTCTGTCCAGGCCGGCTGCTGGTGGAGGAGACTGTTGCTGGGATTGAGATTCATTACACCACTGCCTTCCAGAATCATGATCTGTAAGGGGAATCAAACAGGCCGTTCAACAAGTGCCTCTCGGACAAACGTCATTTGAGAGTATAGACCATAGAGTGAATTTAGGAAGGAAGAAATAATTTCGTCCTTCCATCCATTGCCTGCGAAGCATGCTGCCACAGCCCTTTCAGTAAAAGCAAAACTCACTGGCAATTAAAAATTTCCAGGTTCGATTTTCATATGCATGAGGCAAGATTTTATAGCCACCCATTCACAAATGAATAATCTCTGATCGGAATGAAACGGGAGGAAAATGTAATACTTGCTCACTGGGCGAGTCTGGCCAGCAGCCAATTTTTTTTTTTTTTTTTTTTTTTTTTTTTTAAAAAA